CACCCCCCAGGGGGGATGGTCACGCCGCAATCCCTTCTCCTCCATTCTCCTCTCGGGATCTTGGGCACGCACGCACACGCGCCCAGCATGAGTTTTAAGCCACCGGGTCCAGGACGCGAACCGCGGTCAACTACGTGGGAATCCAGCGACATAGCCATTACGCTAACTGCTGGTTCCCCTTTTCAGCTTTTTCACCTACCATCTTATATTATGGGAAAGAGCAACCCAAGTCTTAAATACAGAAGTCATTTATGTTTCATGTATACATTATACACATAGTCTAGAAGGTAATTTTATGCAGTACTTTTGTATTGTAGCTTTTTCTTGTTTTGGAAGGTGAAGCCCAGACATTGGTAGTTTTTTTAAAAATTATTTATTTAATTTTATTTATTCATTCATTTATTTTAATTTGACCAGAGAGAAACACAGAGAGAGGGAAAGTGAGAAAGCAAGCTACCAGGTCCAGGACTCAAACTATAGTTGGCCACATGGGAGTGTCCAGCACCTTAATCAACCATGCCACCTGTATTAGAGAATTTTTATTGCAACCTGTCTTTTTAAGTCAGGTGTGGACTTTTCCATTTGGTATCATGTTAACATTCAAAAACTTGTATTTTGGGGTATTTTAGATTTTTGATTTTTGGATTAGGAATTGTATCATAGAATTGCTCTGAACCTTTTTTTTCTCCCAATCTGTAAAATGAAAGTAATTTCTGTCTTGCAGTGTCATTTTGAGGGTTAGAAGGTGATTTATGGGACGAGCAGATAGCGTAGCAGTTATGTCACTGACTTGCACATGGCCAACCATCATTCAGGTCCTGGACCCAGTGGCTTGAAACTCACGCTGGGCGTATGTACGTGTGTCCCCAAGATCCTAAGAGGAGAGAGAGATTTACCATTAATATTACCATTGTTCAATATTTTGGCACAAGGTACATCCATTTTTCAGACTGAACTTAAGTTTAATAGCAGGATGGAGGGACCAGCAGTTAGCGTAATGGCTGTGCTGCTGGACTCCATGTAGTTGACCTGGTGGCTTAAACTCATGCCAAGCGTGTGTGCATGCATGCCCAAGATCCCGAGAGGAGAATGGAGGAGAAGGGATTGTGGTGTGGCCATCCCCCCAGCAAAGCAAGTTGATTTCTCACTTTCTGTCTGTCTCTGTCTTTCTGGCCAGCACACACATCCTATAGCTAGCAAAAAAACTCACAAATAAAAAAAAGAGCAGAATGGAGGTATATCCTGTATTATTAAAATACTATATTTTGGGGCCAGCAGGTGGCATGGTTGTTAAGGGGGCTGGACTTCCACATGGCCGACTGCAGTTCAAGTCCCAGACCCAGCAGCTTGCTTTTCTTTCTCTCTCATTCTATTTCTCTCTGGTCAAATTAAAATAAATAAATAAAATAACGTTTAATAAAATAATTATTTAAAATATTTTATTTTATATTGCAACAATAGACTTTATAAACAGAAGCAAAAATATGAGAGTTAGTTTTAATTTACTTTTTTTTTTGTCTTGCCATTACTTACTGGATAATGAATAGGTGCCATGTGGCACTGAGGTGGCAACAGAGTCTACCAGTAGATAGTGGAGAGAAGTGAGGGAGTATGATGGGAGTATGATAGCTGGCAGCAGCTGTCGAGTATGACTTCTTGAAGAAGGTAGGAGCTTTTCAGGGGACTGATAGAACTTGGACTTCTGGCTTATGCTTGTCCAAGTGGGTAAAGGCTTGCCTTGATTAGAAAATAATAGGAACACTTCACTTTCTGAGACCACATGAATTATGCTTGCCATGATTGCCTTCTGCTATGCAAGCAGTAGTAGTCCAGGACACGTGTCTGAGTGTGGACTGAGGGATTGTGCTGCTGCCCTAAGTCAAGGATAGAAAGGAGCTTTTTCCCCCCTAGGCTAGGGAATGTGGGGCAGGCAGGAAGCTGAGGATAATGTCTACAAAGAAAGGAATACCAGGTCACTTTAAGTTGGAATTGCTTATTCAGAGATACTTGAGATTTCCGAGTTTTCTGCCTTCTGTGTTCTCTGTGTTTTTCTACGCTGCTAAAAACACTTCTCTTCTGCCTGCATTAACCACAAGTAATCAGCCTGGCGGTTGGGGCTGGGGCGGCAGCGGATAGCCATTTCTGTAATGTCAGCCCTTGAGCAATCACATGGGCAGGGTATGCCTAACCAGAGAATGGAGTATTTCAGCTTGCATTCTTAACTGGAAATAAAGTGCTCTCCTTATTCTCCTCCTGCAGGTCGGTGAGCTGGTAAAGGTTACGAAGATTAATGTGAGTGGTCAGTGGGAAGGGGAGTGTAATGGCAAACGAGGTCACTTCCCATTCACACATGTCCGTCTGCTGGATCAACAGAATCCTGATGAGGACTTCAGCTGAGTATAGCTCAACAGTTTTGCTGACAGATGGGAACAATCTTTTTTTTTCCAACTGCCATCTATACAGTTTTCTTACAGATGTCAAAAGCAGTCTAGTTTATATAAGCATTCTGTTACCTGTGATCTTTTTGAGACTGAACTACTCCATTCCTAGTCTTATTTACCATGTTCAGGGTACGAAACTGGAGGGCTTATGTGTTAACTTCTGAATTGGCAATTTTAGGTGGTAGCAGCCATGCCTGTATGTGAGAAAGGATAGATATCTTGCCTCCTTTCTTTCAGGCAATGCAAATCAACCTGTGGGAAACTGATGGTCAGGAGAGGAGTGTTACACACTGCTTACCCTGATTTATTCAATGGATTTATTTTCATTCTGAAACCGTACTATCAAATGGCATTAGATTGTTCCCTTCCGCCCCCACAAAGTAATCATGCACCATGTGAGTAGTACCCAGTGGGATTGCTTTCTCATTTATAGAACATGACCATTGTATGACTCATTCTGACATTTCAAATCCTGAGAATTCTGAGAACACTACTAGAGGCATTTGTCTTCCTTCCTAGTCAATGCTTCATATTTTTTCTTGGGATTCTTTCAACCTTCGTCATTCTTTTTCCCCAAACATAGGTTAATTCTTAAGTGTGTATTTTCATTCCAAATGAGAAGCAGGATATGCAGAGCACTTTACTCAGTGCGTAGCTTTAAGCCAGTATTGGATTCAATAAGTGGACATCCAGACTCCCAGCTCTCTGCCTTCCCCCCATGGGGTCATAGTAGGTTCACTCTGCTGCTGCAGCTAAGTAGACTCCTGGCTAAAGGGATCCATTTCTCCAGTACCCTACTAGGAGACTCTTGGAATTCTTAGCATCTACTTGGAGTGGAAGGACCAATCACTTACAATATTCCATAGAAGGTTTTGAGGCCAAATTCTGCCCTCTGTATTATGTGCAACTTGTATAAAAGTCAGGTTAAATGATATGAGTTTGGGAGGGTAGGATTAGCACTTTGACAAAAAAAAAAAAAAAGTCTTTGATCCAATCATGAATTGCTTTTGTATTACTCATTTCACATGGCCAGAAGAGTGCTGGAAATACATTGCATTACTACCTGCATTTTTGGCTCTTTGTTTATGTCAGGATCAGTTTACAAACCCTTTTAAGTATGAAACAGTTTATATGGGGTCAGGTGCTCCAAAGAATAGACTTAAAAGACCAAAAATTATCTAGGCTATTTAGATTACAACATGAAAGTTTTGAAGTTAGTTCCTAGTCTATAAAGGCACTTACTGGTCTGTGGTGTAGTATGACCGATAAAAACACCTGACACTTTGCTTTGGACCTCATTTTAGAAAAATAACATACCTTTCTAATTGTCTTGCATAGGTGAATCTGATTTGATTGTACCAAATCATGTTATCCCAGTGGTTAGCACGTTGCCTGGCACACAGTTGACGTGCAGATGTTCGTGTGAGTGAGCGAGGGGAGTGCAGAAACATTACATGGCACAAGGAGGCCAACTGGCACAGGATTACATACATTACCACAAGCAAACTAATGAGTTGACGCTAACTTAATATATTTTTACCTCACACTAAGGTAATGCTTGATAAAGACATTAATACTCAACTTTTAAAATGTTAGCACAGTGCTCTGCACATAGTGGGTGCTCAATAATGTTGAATGAACAGATTTGCAATACTAGATGAAATTCCATCTGACTACTTTGTTAAATTTTCATTTAGAGCATAGATACTGTAAGATCCAAATACACATTGAATCTTGTTTTCCTTAAGTAAGGCATCTAAAATATTTGTAGAAAGACCTCGTCACAAGTGATTCGAATGTTTGTATTTTCTCTTGCCTTTGACGTTGATACTGGCTTATAATGACTCTCTTCATTATATGTAATATGAGTGGAACATGCAACTCTACCCAAATCATAAGGATTTCTCTCAATGATTGGTTGTCCAGAGCCATTACATGAACTGTTGGGTTGGACTGGCTGCATGTTGCAGTTATTGGACCTCAAGAAATCAAAGAACTGCTTACAAGTATCTTCCAAAAAAGCAAATGTTAGAATCCTATCCAAGTGCATATGTACATTGTCACAGAACAAAGTAAACCGAAATTGGCTGCTATATTTTATATAATCATTTCTTCAAAAGCCCTTTTTTTTTTTTTTTTGGATACTAATGTTTGACATGGTTAATTCTTATTAATTTGTTGGAATTGTTTATTGTTAATAATGCAGATAGATAATTTTTAATTATCCACAAGTAACATTTCACTATTAATGGTTTGAAATGGGTGATAAGCAAACCAATTTGAAATAAAGTATGAACATGTGCCATTGTATTATAACACTATACACTTTCTTGACAGTTAAATTTTAAAAAAATGTTTTTTTGTAGCATGTATTGTATATGTTTATAGTATATGTAGTAAATAAAAATATGGCCAAATGTTGGCTTGGTGATCTTTTGGGGAAAATAGTCTTGGAAATTTTTCACAAAAGAGCCAAATTTTTATGATTAGGATGTGTGTCCTCAACAGCCTACAAACAATCATATGATCAGATAAAGAAATAATTATATACACTCTGTGGGTGCTTATTAAAGATGAGATTAATTATTGGTGACTTTATTTTAGAGAGGTTTTTTTGGGGGGTGGGTGGGCATGGGGGTTTGGCTATTAGGTATGTGCACTTGCCGGAAACAGAGAGAGTAGGTGAGAAATCATCCCCCGAGGGAAGGATGACCATACTGCAGTACATTCTCCTCTCAGGATTTTGGGCATACATACTCACATGCCCAGAATGAATTTCAAGCTGCTAAGTCTAGGACTTGAAGTGCGGTTGGCCATGTGGGAGTCCAGCACCACAACCGCTATGCCACCTGCTGGCCCCATCGTTGGTGATATTTTTAAAGGTTTCTGGGGAAAAAAGTCTCTGGAAATCATGAAATATTAACTTGAGATCCTAAGAATCATCACTATATAAAGATCTGGAGGCCAGAGCGATACGGAGAGTATCAGACTTGTCCAGAAGTGGATGTGTATGTGCATAAGATAATGAAGATGTTAGATAGAAGGTTTTTAGAATGTTACTATAGGGCTGGCTCTGCGGCCTGGTGGCTAAGGCAGCTAGATCACACATGGCCAACTCCATGGATCTAGTGTTTTACAATTGTTTAAGTCCTGAAAGCGGAGAGATGGGGAAGGGATTATGGCATGATCATTCCCCATTCATTCACTGCCTCGTAACTATTTGTATTGAGAGAATATCACATAAATCCAAAGATACCTCTAACGCTACAGAAAGGGGTTCCTTATATGTGAAATAATTATTATCACCAAAGTGGGGGCTGACTTTTGTTGGCTATGTAGCTATCAGAGCTGATGGGGTGCTGCAGTGACCAGGAATTTTTTGATCAAATTATGGCAGTTCTAAGTGTGATAGCACCTTTGGAATATATTCTGCCCTGATGAATATGAAGAGGGGTCTTTGAAAAGTCATGGAAAGCACATATTGTGAAAAACTGCATGGGTTTCAAAAAACTTTGCACCAAAATAAACTCTAATTTCATTTACCCACAAACTTTATGAAGTTCTCTTGTACATTTTAGGTGTAATGATAACAACCACATCTGTAACTCCCCTTGGGGTCCCTGGTGGTAGCTTTTATTCATTCATTCATTTATATATACACACATACATACCAGAGAAGGAGAGAGAGAGAAAGCAAGCCACCAGGTCTGGGGCTTGAACCACGGTCAGCCATGTGGGAGTCCATCATCCTCAGCCACCCACTACCTGCCAGCCCCATCCCTGGTAGCTTTCTAAAGATAAGTGATTAACCAGGACCATCAATTGGCGTAGTGACTATGTCACTGGACTCACATGTAGTCAACCATGGTTTGAATCCGGGACCCAGTGGCTTAAACTCACACTGGGTGCATGTGTGTGTGTGTTCAAGATCCTGAAAGGAGAATGGAGAAGAAAGGATTGTGGTGTGGCCATGCCCCCTGGGTGGTGATTTCTCACTTTCTGTGTCTCTGTCTCTCTCTCTCTGGTGAGCGCATGCACCCTATAACAAAAACCTCAAAAAAATAAAAAGTGGCCAGACTCAAGACATCACAAGTGCAGGTTTGGATTTTAGATGTTCTTTCCCTCAACTGAGTGCCTTCGTTTTACATGATTGTAGCTGGCACTCTGCAAATACTAGCTTTGGTTATTGTGCTTAATGTTCCAGTTGGCTGCTTGTTGATAGATTTCTCGTCACCCATGTCCAACCAATTTTTTTTTTTTTTTTTTTTTTTAATTTACCAGAGGACATGTGCCCTTGCCAGGGAGAGGAGAAAGCATCACCTAATGGGCTATGGTCATGCTGCAGTTCCTTCTCCATTTCCTACTCCTCTCGGGATTTGGGGCATGTACACACACATCCTGCCTTGCATGTCTTTTTTTTTTTTTCATTTATTTTAATTTAGGTTTTTGTCATAGGGAGCATGTGCTTATTTAAGAGAGACAGAGGGAAAGTGAGAAATCACCCCCATGGGAGGTAACCATGCAATCCCTTCTCCATTCTCCTCCTGGGATTTTGGGCACGCATTACATTTACCCAGTGTGACTTTCAAGCCTCTGGATCTGAGACCATTGTCAGACATGTGAGAATCCAGCACCTTAACCACCACACCACCTGCTGGCCCTTGGCTTTTTCATGAAGCTTGTTGGTTGACGAAACAATCCAGCTGCCTGAACCAGCAGGCCACGGAACCAGCCCTATCACACATTATGCCTATCCCTACCATTCAGTAGCTCCGTAGCTCCTGTGAGCCACTGCAGCAACCTTTCTAATCGTTCACGTTCCTTAATCTGTTCATTAGAGTGACCAGGGTGGTCATTCCAAAAGGCAATCTTTTTTTTAAATTTTTTGCTATAGGGTGCATGCACTCACTAGAAAGAGACAGAAGATGAGAAATCGCCCCCCAGCGGGGATGGCTACACCTCAATCCCTTCTCCTGCATTCTCCTGTCAGGATCTTGGGCACACATGCACATGTGCCCAGTGTGAGTTTAAGCCACCAGGTCCGGGACTCGAACCACGGCTGACTACATGGGAGTCTAGTGACATATCCATTATGCCAACTGCTGGTTCCCTGCCTATCATATTCTTTTTTTCTTTTATTTGGAGAGGTTTTATTGCTCTAGGGCACGTACGCTGGCCAGAAAGAGACACAGACAGAAAGCAAGAAATCACCCCCCCAGGGGATGGTCATGCCACAATCCATGCACACACGCACCCAACATGAATTTAAGCCACTCAGTCTGGGACTCAAACTGTAGTCGGCTACATGGGAGTCCAGCAACATAGCCATTGCTGGTCCCCCAGCCTATCTTATTTTACATGGTCCTGGTAGGCTTTCTCTTCAGATGGGCAAACCATTTCCCATTCTTGGGACCTCCTCTCCCTTCAATTGTTTTTACTCTCTTGTATCCAGTTTATTTTTTATTTTATTTTTTAAAGAGTTTTTTGCTATAGGGTGTGTGCGCTCGCCAGACAGAGACAGAGAGACAGAAAGTGAGAAATCACCCCCCGGGGGGGATGGCCACGCTGCAATCCCTTCTCCATTCTCTCGGGATCTTGGGCACGCACGCACACGCGCCCGGCATGAATTTTAAGCCACCGGGTCTGGGATGCGAATTGCGGTTGACTATGTGGGAGTCCAGTGACAGCCATTACGCTAACTGCTGGTCCCAGGATCCAGTTTATTTTTTAAAGAATTATTGGGAGGGAACCAGCAGGTGGCGTGGTGATCAAGGTGCTGGACACTCCCACATGGCCCACCGGGGTTCGAGTCCTGGACCTGGTGGCTTGTTTTCTCACTTCCTCTCTCTCTCACTCTCACCCTCTGTCTCTCTCTGGTTAAATTAAAAATCAATGAATGAATAAATAATTAAATAGTTATAAAAAATGAAATAAAAAAATTATTGGGAGTGCTGGTAGGTGGCATGGAGGTTAAGGGTGCTGGATTTCCACATGGCTGACCTGGTGGCTTGCTTTCTCGCTTTCGCTTTCTCTCTTACTCTGTCCTTCTCTGGTCAAATTAAAATGTTAAAATAAGTAGTTATGGGAAGTCCAGGCCCATAACCAGTACACCATCTGCTAGCACCTTAGGACCAATTCAAATATCACTTTCAAGGGACCAGCAGTTAGCGTGGGTTATGGGCTATATCGCTGGATTCCCATGTAGTTGACCGCGGTTTGCGTCCTGGACCCGGTGGCTTAAAACTCATGCCGGGCGCGTGTACGTGCATGCCCAGGATCCCAAGAGGAGAATGGAGGAGAAGGGATTGCGGCGTGGCCATCCCCCCAGGGGGTGATTTCTCGCTTTCTGTCTCTCTGTCTCTGTCTGTCTGGTGAGCGCACGTGCCCTATAGCAAAATCCTTTCCCAAAAAACCCCAAAAAACTCACGCCGGGCAAATGTGCGTGCATGCCTAAGATCCCAAGAGGAGAATGGAGAAGAGCTTGCGGCGTGGCCATACCCCCTGGGGGGTGATTTCTCGCTTTCTGTCTCTCTGTCTCTCTGTCTTTCTGGCAAGCACATGTGCCCTATAGCAAAAATCTCTCCAAAAAATTTTTTAAAGAATTATTTTATTTAACTTTATTTTTTATTTACTTAAAAACAAAACAAAACAAAAACAAAACAGAGACAGAGCTAAAGAGTGAGAGAACAAGAGAGAAAGAAAGCAAGCCACTGGGTCTGGGATTTGAACTGTGGTCAGCCATGTGGGAGTCCAGCACCCTTAACCACCACACCACCTGTTGGCCCCAATGTTGAAATGCTTTTCAAAGCACCATCTCAAGTTTGGGTACTTTCCCTGTATCATGCTGAGCCCTGTGGCCTTGTCTCTCACGATCACTTAGAGGGAAGCTATAGTGTTACAACAAAGATTATTCACTGGTTATAATTTATTTTGAGTTTCTAGCATTAGCCATACCATCCAAAGGCTGAATCCCATTACTAAAAATAATGTCAAAATTATTTATTCTAGGGGACCAGAAGTTGGCATAATGGCTATGTCACTCTACTCCCATGTAGTCAACTGCTGTCTGAGTCCTGGACCCAGTGCCTTAATCTCACACCGGGTGCATATGCATGCGTGCCCAAGATCCCGAGAGGAGAATGGAGAAGGGATTGCAATGTGGCCATCCTCCCTGGGGGGTTATTTATCGCTTTCTCTCTCTTTGTCTTTCTTGCAAGCGCACGTACCCTGTAGCAAAAGCCTCTCTTAAAAAAAAAAAAAAATTTTATTCTAAAATGCAATTGTGGATCAGTCCATGAAATGGTGGTTAAGGCAGTTGGATTTCACATGGCTGACTACAATTTAATTTCATGTC